CACGTTTCAGCAAATTTTTTTTTCCTATTAATGATAAATTTTCCTTCCTAATAACGACCAGCAGATCAGAATAAGTGAAGATAATAGATGATGATGATGATGATTGATGGGGTGGTGTGGTGATGATGATAATGGTGATGATGATGATGATGATTGATGATGATGATGGTGATGATGATGTGGTGGTGGTGGTGGTGGTGTGTGGTGGTGTGGTGGGCGATGATGATGATGATGATAGTGTGGTGGTGGTGGTGATGATGGTGGTGGTGATGATTATGATGGTGTGATTGTGGTGATGATGATGATGATTGGTGTGGTGTGATGATGATGATGGTGGTGGTGATGATGATGATTGAATAGTGGTGGTGGTGGTGGTGATGATGATGATGATGATGATGGTGAAGATGATGATGATGGTGGTGAAGATGGTTATGATAACAGGAATGATTATAATGAAGATGACAACAATGATATGAATAATAACTATAAGTGTAAAGATAATTTTGAAAGATAATAACAATGACAGTAATAGAATAATGATATCAATTGTAATGATAACGATAATGTTTACACTGATGATGATAGTAAAAATATAATGATAATGATAATGAAAATAATAATGGTAGTGGTAAGGATAATGACAATGATAATAATAATGGGAATAATATTGATAGTGACAATAATACTAATAGTATTGATGAAAATAGCACTAATGATAATAGAAATAGTAGCAGCAGTAATAATAATGATGGTGATGATAACAAATGTGAAAAATGAAATGACAGTGATAATAGTAATGATAATGATAATATTAATATCAATTTATAACAATAATAGCGATAATGATTATAATAAATAATGAAATGATAAGATGATAAAGGATAATAATATAATACAGTAATAATGATAAATCACAATGATAACAACAACAACAACAATAACACTGATAATGATAATGACTATGTTGACAGTAACAAGAATGGCAATGATAAGTAGAGCAATAATAACAATAATAGTCATGGATTGAAAAAATGATTATGATGAAAAGATGATAATGATACTGACAATAATGATGGTTATGATAATAGCAATTGAAATAATAATGATGATAATGAACGTAATAATAGTTTTGATAATAATGATGATAATACAACAACAACAATTATGCTCACAACAGTAATAAAATCTAAAAATATATTTCTGATTTTCTACTTTTTCAAATTTACATTTCTGTACTGTTTTTTTCTGGAGTGTATAATCTTCAACTTCAGAAAAGCAAAGAAATGTGAAACAAAACAAAAAGGAAAGTCATCATCTCATTAAAATGGCTGTTTGAGTCATTTCACTTTGTATCGTTCTTCTGTATCAGTTTGTTCATATTATGGACAAACTGATATATAAACTGATATATTAATCGTCCAACGATCTTCGATCTTCTCGAACTGTTTTCACGTGTACACATACAGTCACACACACACACACACACATGCACACAACACACACCACACAACCACCACAGACACACACACACCACACATACACACACACACACACACATCACACACACACACATACACACACACACACACACACACACACACACACACACACACATACACACACACACACACACACATGCACACAGACACACACACACACACACAGTCTCTGTCTGACGAAAGGACAGCCCCTCAGGTGCCGAGGATCGTTACGCCAATCGCTCGCTTGCTAAAGCTGTGTGTGTGTGTGTGTGTGTGTGTGTGTGTGTGTGTGTGTGTGTGTGTGTGTGTGTGTGTGTGTGTGTGTGTGTGTTTGTGTGTGTGTGTGTGTGTGTGTGTGCATATACACATATATTTTTTCTGACAAGATTTTTTTTGTAAGAAGTTACTCCGCCTCTACATTTGGCTTTCATTATTATTCATCAAAATCCTTTATTACAAATTCATCTTTAAGTTCTTCTTGTGAG